GAGACATATCCAGAAAAAATGTTTCTATGGCCAATGTAAAAAAAAAAAAAAATACCGCTTGTGCTCTGTTATAGGATTTTTTGGTTTCAGGTCTCATACTTAGAGTCTTTCATCCATTTCGGGTTCATATTTGTGTTTGGTGTTAAGAAACGGGTGTAGTTTCATTCTTTTGCATGTAGCTGTCCAGTTTCTCCAACACGATTTGTTGAAAAGACTGTCTTTTTCCCATTGTATATTCCTTCCTTCTTTGTCATAGATTAGTTGACCGTAGAAGTTATGTGTTTATTTCTGGGTTTTCTCTTCTGTCTCATTAACCTGTGTGTCTGTTTTGGGGTCAGTTCCATACTGTTTTGATCACTACAGCTCTGTAATATAACTTGAAGTCCGAGATTGTGATGCCTCCAGCTTTGTTCTTATTTCTCAAAATTGCTTTGGCTCTTCAGGGTGTTTTGTAGATCCATACAAAGTTTAGGAGTATTTGTTCTAATTCTGTGACGTTCACACAAACAAATGGAAGGATATACCATGCTCATGGATTGGAAGAACCAATATTGTTAACACGTCCACACTCCTCAAAGCAATCTACAGATTTGATGAAATCCCTATCAAAATACCAACATTTTTCACAGAACTAGAACATATAATTCTAAAATTTTAATGGATTCCCCTTCTCTCTTCTGAGTCGTTTATTGCAGTTTTTCTTCCTTCACCAAAGTCTCGTCTCTTCTTTTCCTGCTTCTCTTTCTGTCTTTCCTTTAAAGTACAAAGCCCCACTCAATCCATAAGAAACTCATGGAGACTCTCTGTCCTTGGCCAAGTTAACATTGTTTCTATTCCTGACGGAGGTAGGTTTGGCTTTGGTCTTTGCTGTAATATTATGGCTTCCTTAGGAAGCTGTGCTAAGGTGTACTATGAACTATGCTAATAATACTAAGGGATTGTTGATACTCTGACCCTAAAGAAATTCTGACCTACACAAATGAAAGTGTGTTGAAAATAATGCAAATGTTTTCCTTAAACTTGGCTTTCTGCAGTTGAGAAGTTACTCCTTCACTTTTAAATTCTTACCTAAAAATTATTTATATCCCTGGGGAATGTTTTCTTTCCTTCAGAAATGATTTATTGATTGCTATGTGCGTACTATGAGTCACCGGTCAAAAAAGGGAGAATTCAGTACATTCGGGTGTGGGGGTGGAGGGAAGACAGCTAACATTTTTGCATTCCTGTTCATACCGAACTCTGGAAATCATTATCTTGGTATGAATCCTGACAGTTGCCCTCTGAGATATGGAGCCTATCATCCTTATCGCACGCATGATGAGACGGAGGCTCAGAGGAACTAAGGTACTCACCAAGGTCACGTGGCCTGTAAGGCGCAAGAGGCAAGGACCAAGCCCAGGTGTCCTAGACTCCCCCCCCACACCATGCCTCCATGTGGGGGGGGGAATTCAGAAAGTTCTAGAAAAGCTTCAAAAGAGAGGCTGATATTTGACTGAGGGGACCTAGCAAAGCCATGGGTTTCATTTTTTTTTTTTTAACAGGTTATTGGGGGATATTTGTGATTTCCTCCAAAGCAGGATCCCTCTGAAGTTTGGAAACAAACATCCTATTACTTTGTGTAATTCACAGTTCCACCCTGTAGCTTGCCTGTAGACAAGGTCTCCTTTCCGAGTTCTGAGTAAGCCTTTCTTTTAAGATGCTTTTTTCTAGATGGTCATTAGCTAATTGAACGTTCTTTATGTCTGCTCAGTCAGTATATGAAGCGTCATGGTAAAATGCCCTTTGAAAATCAGGAATGGGAGACGCTGTGCACCCCAGTGTGTTGTAAACCCATGTCTTGTGGATCAGGACAGCTGAGAGGAGTCACCCAGGAAGCTAGGACCTTAGTTTGGGGCCAGGACACTGGAATGAGAGGCAGCAGTCTGAGCTGGAACAGTGAGTTCAAGTCCTAACGCCCTCACTGGCTGTCAGACTGATTAATATGGGTCCAGCTCTTAGAACAGTGCCGCCCATGGTAAGTGCCAGGTTAGTGTTGGCTGCTCCCAAGTAGATATGAATGGAAAGATGGGAACATTGGTGGCATCTTTGGGGTTTTTAGAACACTGGTTAAGAAAAGTAGTGATGAATTAACCTTGGTTTATGGAGTCCCTTTGAAATGGTTTATCATGCTCAAGGCCACAAAGAATTCATCCTCCCTATTTGTTGACATGGGAAAAGACCTAGCCAGTGGGGTCTTAGAGGGGATAAGATAAGTCAACACAGATGCCCACAGTCTGGGCCGACCCAGACCAGCGAGGAGGCGGACACTGGATGTGGGCAAATGGCCAGCACCACCAGGGAAGGGGTTCCTGGTTCCTCGTGCCAGGCCAGACCTGCCCTGCCTCTCCTCTCAGGAGCTCTTCCTGAGTCAGCCGGCTAACACCTTTTCCAGATTCCACTCATCTGAGATACTGGGATCACTTGGAAATGCAGCTTCTTTAAACCTTCCCGAATCTTCTTTAAACCTTGGGAGCCTGAGGCTAAAACCCCCTTTTTAAACAAACAAAACAAAAACAACAAGAAAACACCTTTAAAAATAATGGAAATAGGGATGCTGGGTGGCTCCGTCGGTTAAGCCACTGCCTTCGGCTCGGGTCACGATCCCACGGTACTGGGATCGAGTTCTGCCTCCGGTTCCTTGCTCGGCAGGGAGCCTGCTTCTCTCTCTGCCCCTGTCTGCTTCTCTGCCTGCTTAGGCACTGTCTCTCTCTCTCTCTTTCTGACAAATAAATAAATAAATAAAATCTTTAAAAAAAACAATGGAAATATTATATAAGTTTAGAAAAAGGAAGGAAGGAACTTTCAAAATGTAGTATAAAGGGTTTTAAACTGAATGTGGAATTTCCCCTCTCTGCTGTTTCCCAGATTTAACCAGAGTTATCATTCTCTTTTTGTGTTTGGAGAAGTTTTATTCACAGTATATGAATATCTATAAGCCTTTTAAAAATTTACACGTGATTTTTTTTCCTCCATGTCTTACCTTTTCAACTTAGTATATTAATGATTTTTCTAGAGTATCAGTGTAGATCTACCTCTTTCTTTTCTTTTTATTTATTTTATTTATTTTATTAGAGTTATTTTATTAGAGTTAATTATAAAATTATTTCAGTGAGATAGGGAAATTCTGACCTCTTATCTAATACCACAGCAAAAAGTAAAATGCACACCAAACTTAGCATAATTACAAGGAGAAATGGATCTGTTCACAGTTACAGTGGGGACTTAACCAAGGCTCCCAGAAACGGACCTGGGTCAGCAGGCCACGAGCAAGGACAAGTGACACAGGAGACCTGAGTTGCACCGTACACAGGCGGAACAGAGGGGAGATGCAAGGGTACATCAGAGAATGCACGTTTCTCTACAGGCTCACACGGGCCATTTAGAAGAACAGAGAGGGGCAGAGACTTGGCTGTAAAGGAGATCTGGCCACTGCTGGTTTCTTCCAGTTGTAAGTTCTGAAAGAGTTTTGTCTCTCGCCTGTTTCTTTCCTGAGTTGGTTCTGCCTGTTCCTGCTTCATGCCCGCCTGCTTTATGACCATCTCGACTGAATGCCCGTCTGCGTTAGGTCTTCCTCCTTACTACAGTTGTTCCATAAGGACCTTTTTTGTCGTCTTTTATACTCGTGGCGGATGCGGACCGTTAGGTATAATGTTCGTCTGCTCATGGCAAGGTTTTTCAGGTGAGTTTTCATCCTCCCAGGGGAAGCAGGGCTGCTCTCCCCTCTCATCCTTTTCCTTGTGTCTGTGCATAACGTTAAGCATGTTCCTCGGGACTAACATGGTGCAGGAATCCTGTCGTTTCCCCACCTTGCGTTTGTCAGTAATGCTCCGTTAGCGTCTGATGCGGACAGTGTGCTGCACGTCATTTGCTGGATCAGTCTGGCTCCCCGGCGGGGAGGGAAGGGTCTGTGTGTCTGGCGCGCCGCTCGCCCCAGTAACGAAATCAGTGCCTTAGACATAGTCAGGACCCGATAAATATTTGTTGGGTAAATTAGCGCAGAGGAGCTCAAAAAGCAAAACAAAGGCCAAAAAACCGGATTTGGAATTGAAGTGGTCATTTTAGATCCCATCCATTCAAGTTTTAATACGTTATCTCCATACTGAAGCCTGTGTGTCTGGAGTGTGGGGGGGGGTGTGTGGGGAGACACACTTAATATTAAGACATGGAGCCCTTGCATTTTTACACACCGTTACTGGAATACAAAGTACCTCTTCCCCTGTGTGGGCCGGGACGGGGGAGATGTGGCAAGGTGCATGTGCCAGTCGATCTGGCCCTTTGGATTCTAAGAATTTTCCCCGTAAGGGTGCTCACACGGTCTGCAAGGCCATAGGTGTAGTAAGAATAGAGGCGCCTGTGTGGCTCAGTGGGTTGAAGCCTCTGCCTTCAGCTCAGGTCATGATTCCAGGGTCCTGGGATTGAGCCCCGCATCCGGCTCTCTGCTCAGCGGTGAGCCTACTTCCCCCTCTCTCTCTGCCTGTCTCTCTGCATACTTGTGATCTCTGTCAAATAAATAAATAAAATCTTTACAAAAAAAAAAAAAAGAATAACTCTAATAGCAGTTGGTTTGGGACTGGTGTTCAAAGCCGGGTCCATACACAATAGGGGTGCATATGATGATCCACTGAGATGCGACAGAAAAGCGGCAACTGTATATTTATTTTTCATCTGCATAAAAGAAAGGAAGCCTCGCCGACATTCAGTGTTAGAGTAACTCCATGTCACCAGTCAGTCAGCACCGCCGGGTCAGATGGCCACTTGGACGCTGAATTTCCAAGACATCCTGAGGGATGGGGGACAGACAGAGGCTCCCACTGAAGTTACTCATTTGCTTTTAACACACAGCTGCCGTTTGCAGTTCCCACGCACGGGTTCAGTGTGTTTCTAGACTGTGCTCTCTTACCTTACGTTGGTGAGCACGCAGGTAGCCCCGGCCATCTCAGCTGTGACCCTCCTTCTTGCAGGGACACCCTGGCGGAAGGAGCAGACCGCGGACCTGCAGCGGGTGCTGGCGCGCGTGGACCGTGACATCCCACTGGTGCTGGTCAGCGGCAACCACGACGTGGGCAACACCCCCACGCCTGAGACTGTGGCAGAGTTCCAGCGGACCTGGGGGGATGACTATTTCAGCTTCTGGGTCGGGGGCGTCCTGTTCCTCGTCCTCAACTCCCAGTTCTGGTACGATGCCTCCCGATGCCCCGCCCTGAAGCAGGCACAGGACCAGTGGCTGGACCAGCAGCTGAGCGTCGCAGGCCGGCGCCATTGCCAGCACGCCGTCGTCTTCCAGCACATCCCGCTCTTCCTCCACAGCATCGACGAGGACGACGACTACTTCAACCTCACCAAGTCTGTGCGGAAGGAGGTGGCCAACAAGCTCACCAGAGCAGGTAGAGACCCGGGGCCCCAGGGGTTGGCTGGGAGGGCCGTCTGGAGGGGAGGATTCCAGATCCTTCTTCCCCCTCCTGCAGCCTGGCGAAGGGTAGAGAAGATGGGGATTTGGACCGAACTGGGTTCTGTCCCCAGCCCCGCCCCCCATGGACAGTGTGGTCTTGGGCAAGCTGCCTAGCCCTCCCAGCCTCCGTGTACTCATCTGTAAAGTGGGAGTAGCAGTAGGAGCTCTCACATAGAGTGGTCATTAGCGTTAGAGGAGGGGGGCCTGCAGGTCATTACAGTAGCCCCTAGCCTACCAAGTAGTGAAGTTGTGGCAGCTGCTGGCAGCCGAGGACGGGGTCCTGCGGGTGTGCATTTAACGGGGGGTAGCGGGGGTCTGACTGCTGTGCACTGGCCCCGGGAGAAGGGCTGACGCCAGGGGCATCTGTTCTCATACCTCTGGGAAGCAGGCATTTGGTCAACGGCAGGTGATGTTTAAGAGCTGGGCTTTCCGCCACTGTTGGATATAACCCTGGGAGGTCCTGGGACGTACAGGTCCTGGAGGCGTCTCCTTGGTTCTCCCGGGATGAGGACTGAATTCTCCTCCAAAGCCAGGAGTTTAACCCACTGTCAGTTATCAGCTAATCACATGTTTGACACAAGCGTGTGCACACACACACACATACACACATGCACACGCACGATGGCGTACCGGTCCACACACCCTCCAGCTCCCTTTCTGGCCGCCCCGCCATGTTGCTGTCATGAGAAATGGGTCTTTCTCCGCTGACTCCATGCATGGCCAGTGACTTGGCAGGATTCCAGTTCTGACAACTGTTGTGTCTCTTGTTTTTGTTTTAGTGCCTCCTTTCAGATCTTTCCAGAATGTACTTCCTTATACGCTTCTAACATTTAAATACATCAGTTTATTTGTTAGGAGATAGGGAGAGGGAGGTGGTGGCCCGACCTGCTAGCAAGCATTCTTTTAAAAAAAAAAAAAAAAAAGTCTTGACACTCTTCCTTTCATCTTCAAGCGTTCAATGTGTTCGCATTTACTTGTGAAATGTACAATAGGCCCTTTTGTATTTTTGAGACATTTTACAAAAAGCTTGCATAATTGGAGACATTTTCCAACTGTTCCGTGGAGATGAAGTTGGGAAACTTCTATTGAGGTCTTTGAAATTTCGTGCCATGCTTGAGCTGGTGCACAAAACCGTTTCGATGACAAGGAAATAAAGTGTCAGGATGGCGTCAGTGCCACCGTGGAGACTAGTTGTAACAGAATAATGCCAGAGAGAACATTTAATGCCAATGAAATGAGTCCTTTCATATCAAATGTTAAGTGATGCAAATGCCATCCCCGTGACTGCTCTTTGTTCTTGGCTCCTGCTGGCCACCTTCTCGAGTGGCACGTGGTTCTGGGCTTCCCCTCGTTGGAGGAGCAGATGCAGCCCACAGGCACCACCAGATACGGAGACCTGTAAACACATATAGAGAGAGAGCCCACAGCCCTAACAGGGCAGCCCCTCGGGGGATGCCCGCTGCCCACCCACCAGGACACCCGCTGCCCACCCAGCAGAGACCTGGCCTTGTATCTGGGATGCACCAGCCCCCTCCCCGTCAGGCTCAGGACGGACTCGTCTGCACACCCAGAGCCGGCCTGTGTCTTGGGAGGTGGGCTCAGCCCACGGATGGATCTCCACCACCCAGAGGCCCAGTGATTGATTGGAGTGAGACTGGGACCCTCCCCTCAGCCCCAGGGGCAGAGTCTCTTCCCACGGGCAGAGCGGTCTGGGAAGCCAAGCAGTGATCAGGAGCTCGCTTGCTCAGCGTGAGACAGAGGGAGGAACTGGCGGTTCGTGCGGCTCTCCATGGCACCAGGCTCTGGAACACTGGCTGAGCCATCTCCAGGAGGGCCTCCTTGCCCAGGATACTCTGATATTTCTAGTGCCTTTAGCATCTCTCGGGACTGTCTGCTTCTTGGGGCCACTTTCTGGGTCATCACGGCAGCTCCACAATGCCCCTCCCTTCTGGGGTCCTCCCCCAACCACCAGGAAGAGGCCAGGCTTTCACTCTCCCCCTGGTCTCCGCCTCCTCCACTTCACCTAGTCTGGCTACTGAACTCCAGCACCTTCCGTAGGAGGGGCCGGCAGCCCCACCCGGTTCTTCCTCAGCTTCCCTTGATCCCGGAGGACTTGTTCGCGTTGACCCATCTCAGTCTCCCGCTAGGCTCGGCTCCTGGAGCGTGGGGATGCTGCTGTGGTCAGCTCTGCGTTCAGGACACCTGGCTCGGGCCTTAGCTCATCATCAGCCGTATCGGTGTTTGTGGAGCAAGTGAAGGACTGACACGGCCCTTTTATCGATGGAGCACCAGACCAGGTCCGCGCTCTCACGTGGCTCCCAGGCCAGGTTTTCCAAGGTGCACTCCAAGTCCCGTAGCATCCAAGCCCCTCGTTCTTGGGTAAAGCCACTTGTGTGCCTCTGCCCTGATCCGCGTGCTGGCTGTCCAGGTTCACACAGCAGCCTGTTCTCTCTTCCCACGTGGCCCCCCTCTATCCCCCCCCCATGCACCTTCACGTAGGAGAAGGCATCCTCTCCGTCTCTGGCCTCAGGATCTTCATCTGAGCTTGCTTAACCAGGCTGCAGCAGAGAGATGGGTGCCCTTCCTGCTGTCGCCTCTCAGTTTTAGTGGCTTCTCAAACCAGGCCCTTTGCTCTGTGGCCTTTCAGACCCAGAACGGACCAAGGGCAACGTTGGGAAGAGATCAGAGACCAGATGTGGACCGGCTCGGTGGCAGGCGGAGCAACCTGATTGCTTTGGCCACAGGGGTAGGTGGGCTGTCGGGGGTATGCACACCCGCGACTCAGTAACGCAGGCGGTTGCTCGGGTGACAGAATGTAATTCTCGGACTCGTTCGGGAAAGCCAGAAGTTCCGGTGACATTCTGTAAAATTCATTAGTAAAGGACCAGGATAGAACCGGGTGATGCCGTGGCTTCGTGCGGCCTCCAGCTTCTCCCCCCCACAGCTGTTAGTCCCTGGTCCTGCTCCGGTCTCATTTATCTCCTCGTGCTAAAATGCCGGTGCTCAGAAATATGTCAAAAGCTCATCAGAATATCAGGGTAGCTTTTAATTATGATAATTGTGTTGTTATAAAATATCCTTTTAAAGAGTACCTCCCTCCACAAACCACCGTGGAGGTAGAACCCAGCTTCCTTCCAGCAAGCTTCATGAATAATTCTGAATCATCGTGTGGGATGAATAAATGATTTAATAACGAGCATCAACAATCATCTCTCATTGTTGCATTAATTTTTCAAACGGGAGGAGGTAAATGAGGAGGAGGGTGTTACCGTACAAATGGGCCGCTCTGTGCATGGGGACACGTTCTATGAATCGGAGCCTGTGCACTTCCCCCGTCAGGTTTCCCTAGAAACAGACGCATTCTGTTTTCGCTTGTGAAGCTCGGTAAGAAACCGTGTTTGTGGGCTACAAAGGCATCGTCGGTCGTCAACGGACAGAAACAGTTACCAGGGCAGGACAGGCGCGCAGATGCTGTACCCCTTCTTGTTGCTCTTCCTTTCCTCTGCCCGAGGATAATCAATTTCATCACATCCATGGGATGTAGAAATTGGTTTTCCCCTTAATTCACCTGATACCTAGTTGAGTTGCAAAGACAGATAGTAGATAATGAAATCGTGGCTGAACCAGGCCATTGTCTCTTGTCCCTCAAGCTTCTTTCAGCAAAATGTTAATATGTGACCCAGTTAATACAGATTCCAATTTAAAAACTCAATCTTGAAAAACAAAAGTCTGGCTCTTTAATGGACCCCATCTCCCTTGACGTCTCGATACCTTTTCCTTTTTCCATTCTCAACACAGAGATGAGAACCGTGTAGTTGGGAGCCCAGAGCGAATTTGGCAATTACGGTAACTTCCAATAATTTGATCTTTCTTACAAAAATTAATGAGCAATTTCACAGAAATAGCTTCATCTCCAGTATTGATGCTTAAAAACAAAAAACAACCAGAGAGAAAGAGCCCGTGGTTATGGTTTTAGAATGTCAAAGTTTAAAAGAACAAAAAGGTCAGGTTTTCAGGGTCCACTTTATAGGAAAAATAAAACCTCAGGTCCTACTCTAATGTCTCACTGAGTTGTATTGAAATTATTTGTTTATATCCTGATTCCTCTAAGAGACACAGCCCCAGCTTCCTTGGCCTCTGTGAGCCCATCCCCTTGCCAAGACTGTCGTGCTCTATAGCCCCATCAATAAATAAATGTTGGTTAAGTGGGATGGAATTAAATTTGATTTACATACTTACCAGCAGAATCATTGGTAAGGTCTGGATTACCTGTGGATTGGTGATTGCCAACTGGCTTTTGGATAGGAAACGTATCACCTAGAGCGGTGGTCGGTAACCGTTTTCCGCGAAGGGTCACACAGTGAACAGGGTGGGTTGTGGGCCCCGTAGCGAACGTTGAGCTCTGCCATTGGAAGGCAGAGGCAGTTACAGACACACGTAAGCAAACCGGCATGGCTGTGTTCCAGCAAAACTCTATTTACAAAAGCAGGCGTGGGCCCGCAGACCCTACTTTTCCTGCCCTGGGCTTAGAGAAGTCTTCCTGTTGCCATGCAACACCTGTGCCCTCCCCTGAAACCCTGTCCACACTGTGCGTGTGTCTCCCTCCAGCGTGCTCCCGGTGACCCCACGGCGGCTGCTGCCTGACTTACTGAGGGCTCTTCCCAGAGCAAGCCTCGGGCTCCTCAGTAGAGGGTACGCCTGGGAGAGGCACGTTCGCCTGGAGGCCCATGACATGACGTGGGGATATGGGGTGGGAGGGGATAAGGGGGCGCTTAGAATCTAATACTTAAAATCTCACCCTAAGATCTATTTTCTACATGCGTTAGAAAAAAATGTAAGTAGCTCTTCAAGTTGAAGAAAAATACTCAGGAAGCGATAGCACTGGCAGCCTGTGGGCGAGGCAGAAGTCGTGGCGCAGGGGGACATGCGGGTGGG